AGCTTTCGCCCTCCCGCTGCCGTTTTAAAATCGCCTCGCCGTTTCCTCCGTGCGCTGCCCTTGTGCGCTGGCTTCTGTTTGCCCCAGGGAAATGCCGGTCCCGATGACTATGCAGTGCTGGGGGCGGAGGTCGGAAAGGAGAGGGAGCTGCGGATCCAGGCGGCAGCAAGTGTGCATGGCCCGCCGCCCCCACTACACATTTTCCACATACTTTTGCAAATGACTTATTTACTTTTTATTTATTTATTGGCATATTTACAAAGTCAGTAAAAGTACAGCCAGTATTTCATCTATCTTTTTGTTCGCTCATAGGTCTTACATGACACAACAGGTTGGTACAACTAAATGGGCCCAGAAGCTTGGTGAGGATGGACACAAAGGAGAATTGTGGTGTTTTCCTTTCTGACCTGCATCCTTCATTCCCACATACTAGAACTCACCTCGCCTGATGAGCTTTGGGGCAGGGAAATACAGCAAAATGATATTAGTCATACACAAAATGATTAAATTCCGAAGAAGTAGAATAGCTGTAGGGAGGATACCTGTCATTTGGGGTAGTCTTGATCATAGCTTCATCTTCTGCATGGCAGGATTGGCAAAGGCCGAGTATCGGTAAGATGTGAAACGCCAGCTCTGCTGGTCTCTCGTGAACAGGGATGCAATGAAAAGAGTTCCTCCCTGCGATGAGAGGGAGCCTACTCCATCGAGACAGCGATGTGTGGAACTGCTGGGCATCATTCTGCAGGCTCTTTTGTCTGTGTCCAGCCGCTTTGTTTTCCACTTCACCCGTAAGACACACTCCTATTCTCCTGTATCATTGGCATTTGTGCAGTCCTGCTATGCAGATACATTGAGTGGGGCCAAGTAAAAAAGAGCAGCACGTAGAACTTCTGCTTTACAGGCTTTGGGAAATTGTTCAGCGCTCTCAAGCCAAGACGTATAGAGGAACAGTGCTGCTTCTTAGGGTATCAGAGGTCTTAGGGAGTGTATTAAGAGACAAGCATCTGTGGTGGCCCCAATCCTGAAAGACCATCTTTTGACTAGCCCTGTAGCTCTGCTGTCATCTTTGCACTTACTCCCTTTGCCTGAAACTACGGCACCCGCTTGAATTTGGGCCATTTGCTGAGCCACAAGGCCCAGAGGAGTGAGATGGGAGTTACTGTCCAGCAACATAAGTGGGTTTTGAGAACACGAGGGAAATCAGTGGCAGTTGCATTTCAGCTTCTGTATTCTCACATTTTTTACTGCATATCCTGCAGTGTGTAGGATATGCAGTGTGTGTGTGTGTTCTATTCTCCGTCTCCTTAAACCTAACCTGCACTTTTTGGAACATATACTCAGGTACTTCTCCATGCTCAGAGCACAGGGTGTTAACACCAGTATTTTAATTTCTTGGAGTTTCTGGTTTTGCGCCCTCTTAGACAACCTGCTCATGTTGATTAGGTCTTTCCCCTTGTCCTTTTTTCTTATCTCACTCACCTTTTGGACCCATGTCTATTTATCTAGTTCCTGGAACTTGCACTTGTTAACTCTGCCCTCGTTTAGGAGAGTTTATTACTGCGCGGTTCCTGCTCCCCCTTCGGCTGCATCGATTCATCATCACTGTGAGGACTGCCCGTCTCCAGCTCCCCTGCCCGCTCTGCCCTGCTTTATTCACGAAATACAGGTATGCTCTCAAATCAGATGTGTTTTCCTGTCAGCTGAGATGATAAGTAAATGCAAACCATGAATATACCTGCCCAGGCTCAGAAACTGGCAAAAAAATGGGACGTGCAAGCCCAAAGCGAGGAGGCATATGGAGTGAGATCAGGAAGAAAAGGGAACGTTCATTCTTGTGTTGCATCTGTCTGGATGGAAGAAAATTTGCAGTGAATTTTGTGTAGCAATCAAATATTTCTGTGGTAACACAGTACATACGAAATATAACCATTATTACTATTCTTACTGCACGTGAAACAAAGCTGTACAAGCAATTGCTGCTATAGAAATTGGAGATAAAATTATTTGCCGTATACATTAGCACATCAGGACCTTCTGAAGAGCATCCAGTGTGAGCTATTTGCCTGGCACTTGTACAGCATCTACTGTGCTGCCCACAGAGGTTGGGGAGTACATTCAGTTCAAGTCTTAATACTTGTTCCTACTCCTCCTGCATTTTGACAATGAAAGTATTTTCCAAAGTTCAGTGAGAACCATGAGCAAGATAGTAAGACTATGGTAACCCCTTCCCCTGAACAAACATTTGTAGCACAGAAAAAAATAATAATAAAAAGAGGGGGAAGGAAGGAGACAAATTCAAAATAAATGAAAAAAAATGACTTTATCCAGATCTTTAGAAGTGAGTATAAATGAGTGTCTTGAGCACACCGTCTTTGCACAGTGTGCATTGTGGGGCAGCAAGGGCAGCATTAAATCATTTGCCACGACATCTCCCTTAGAAAGCCCTCCTCCTAGGAAGTGTTGCATGTGGGAGCACAAAGGAAAGTCCCTAGAAACTTTTGAATCAAGCTGGTTGCTTTTAAAACTAACTGGAGAGTTCAATATGAGCAGTTAAATAGGCTGCCATAAGAAGGGATTAAAGATGCATGTAGGACTTCACTCCAAATGGATGTGAAACCAAAGCGAAGCCTCCGACTTACCCCTACGCTCTTCGAAAGATGGCAAAGATGCTCTGAATGCAACTCACTCTTGGAGTTCCCTCCGGGAGCTTCTGGTCTGCTGGGATGCCCTCAAGCCTCTGGAAACGACGCTGCCTCTTGCCGTGTTACGCAGCCATTCCCCCAGAATAATATTCCTTAGTGCCACAGCATGAATAGGCCTCGGAGACCCAACAATCGCAGTTCAGTTTCATAGTGAACAGCAGATACTACCTGTGGGGGGTTACGGAGCTCAGACCCTGTAACTAAAAGGAGTCCAGGAGTAAAACAGAAGGAAAAAGTTTTGATCATCAGCCCAGTGATCAGTATTGGCAAATGATGATTTTCCTAGGGAATCAAAAGCTGACACCATCTTCACTAATGCTAAAAAATATTGAGGGTTAAAGTCTAATAAAAAACAAGGTCTAAGAAAATATTTCCTGGTGAAATCTGAATGCCTACAAATATTTAAACCAAGTACATTTCAATAAATAAATATGTTAATCCGTTTCCTTCCAGGATCAAGGAGTACTCAGAATAATTCTGCTTTGCAGAAATCTCTTGCTGGGGCAGAAAGTGCACAGGGAAGCATGGAAATCCATATGTTTCAGGATCAGCTAGATTAAAATATTACACATTTTCTACAGAATCTCACCTGCAGGACTGAGAATGACCTACAATACTGAATAATCAGTCACGGAAGCCCAATGCACTGAAGAAAGGGGGCACCTGGAGTCACTGTCACGATCTCACATTAATGGCACGAGGCCCCATTGGTGGCACTGCTGTTTTTCTTGCTTGTGGAATTATATTCCTATTCTGCTTCTCAAAAATTCAGAACTATGAATTCCTAAAAATTTCCAGATACACTTTTGCCGTGTTGAGCCTGCTCACTCTAACTTTGGTGGCCACATCTCCACGACAGGTAAACAGCACCTGAACAGGCTCCACCTGGGCAGCCTGCACGTTCATGGTGTGGCTCTGCACCCTGCGGTCATGCAGACCAGGCCAGAGCTGGGCAGAAGAAAATGCTCATGTAGAGCAGCGTGAGGTAGAGAGAGATGCTGTGACACTCGGGGACAACCCCTGGCATCTTGTTTTCTAGAAGTTTCTAACACAAGTTCTGGAGAAGTATCTCACAACTCTGGACTTTCAAGAAGCTGCATCTATTTAGGTGGCATCTGCAGGTAATACCGACTGCAGCCAAAGCAGCTGGTGCAGCTCAGTGTCATGCACAATAATAGCAAGGGAACAGTCAATGGTTAGCTGGTCACAAACAGTGCTGGAGAAAGTTTGCTAATGTTTTCCAGAGAAAATAATATGAAAGGAGACAGATAAAGTATGAGAGCAGTTGTCCCTTATGTACCATATGGATATTCAAATTTTATACAGGAAAAAATGTGACAAAGCCCAACATTTCCAAACATTTAGATCGTTATTTAAGTTCTTAAAGAAAATGCAACATTTTGAGGAAAGGGTTTTTCTTAAAAACTCACTTTTTATATTATAGTTTATATTTTTACTGTTAGTATTCTACCTCAATGTCTATAACTGGGGGGGGGAAAAAAAAAAAAAAAAGCCCTCATCAGTTTACTGTCGTTATTCCGGAACAGATTATGCTAGAAGGATAGGATTTTCAAAAGAAATTTAACACATTCCATTAGCGTAAGTTGCCTTTAAAATAGAAGGAAAATAAGACTGCTTTTGCTTCTAGTTTACACTAACCAAAATGCACGTAAACCTCATATATGCAAAAGAAACCGTCAAGAACTGTTAAAAACAAACTGATGTTGTAGGGTTTAATTCATCCATCTACAAGAATCTACAATTATATAAAAAAAATTCTTGGCTTCAAACTTTACAGCGCATTTACATTAGCGGAAAAACCCACAGCTTTCCCTCACTCCTCCACTTCTGTACAAATCATATACAATAAAAAGGTTCATTTTAGGCTTACAAACATCGTTCTGTGCTTTGCTACAGAGGAAAGCTTTGTTCTCTGGCACTTGATTTCCTCCATGGTACCTGTGTGTTAGAGCACAGAGCACTTTTGATGCACGCGTCTGGAATCTTCAGCTTAAGTAATATGGACTGAGCAAGAGGCCACAGCTCCTGCAGCTCCAATGGTTTAAATAATGAGAAAAATCTAGCACTTGGTTGTATAACAATCAACAGTTTATTAATGGATATGGTGAAATTTTAGCTATCCACCAAAGATGTGTAAAAAATTGTCAAGAAAGTAAAAATAAATAAAGCTGTTCTTTAAAATCAGTCTCGTTTTACATCTCCATTCAGAATGCAACATTTAACACAAAACTGTCAAAGTTTTAAAGTCTACCAATATTCAAATTACAGCTTTCATGACAAATCTAATGAGAACTGAAACTGATTTGGTTTTAGGTTTAAAGACTTTCACATTCAAATACAGTGTCTCGTTTAGCACAACACTTCCTTTGACAGTGATGGGCAACAGTGATGACATATTGCTGTATTTTGACATAAGGCACTATGATATGAATATGCCATACACTTGCCTTATGTCACATATATCCATTGCTGACCAGTGACTTCTGTCAAATACAAAATGAAAAAAGTTTCGGAATACAGTGCATTTTAATGAAGGACATCGTGTGAAGTCTTCCAGCAAATGTTTCGAAGACGTTTGGAAATACAAGCCTACATTTTAACATAAGCTTTTGTCATGCTGCTTTTTTTTGCGACATCACTGGGGGGAATAGACTCATCATCCGTCACTAAGTCCCAATACACATTCTCAGCCACTCTGCTCCGTCTATTGCAGTCACTGTTCTTGAGACAAACTTGACCCAGAAGGTTTTCTTCAAGTTCTCCTACAACGTTTACACATTCACAGCAGTCATTCACTTTCGTTCTCCTTTTGTTTGGCACCTGTTAACAGAAGAGGAAAGCGCATGAGCGTCCCCTGCGTCCCCAGCTCAAGCCATGGAAAAGCTTCACTCACGGAACACTCTGACTTGGCCTCGTGCAGTATCACGACCTTAGTACTGGATGCCCGTCATAAAGATAATGCTTTTGGATGAGGAAACGGTAGGAAATGGTGTGAGGAAGGCATTTTGTTTGCTACTGCTCTGCTTCACTCGTAATTCGGATGTAATCCACTTTTCCTGGCTCAGAGGCAGATTTTAACGACAGAAAGCATCTGAAAGGCCCGCTCCAAAGAGCTCCACAGACCTGCACAGCATCTCGCCTCTTCTCCAGCTACTCGGTCTAGCTCCGTGCTGGGCAGCAACTGAACCCCATCGTGAGTCTGGCTTCAGCACCCCACTCCAGACACCGGGAATCTCTTGCCAGTGACTGGGAGTTACTACTTGTCACATCCACATTGCTGGCAAGAGATTCCTGGTGTCTGGAGTTGGAGTCACAAACTCCAATGCCATTAAAAACACATGAAGTTTCCACAGCAGAACTGATACTTCGTTCTAAGGCAAACTGATCTTTGTTCCTGCCAGCCAACACTTGTCACTGAGGAGAAATGGACACTTGTAGGGCATCATTTATCTGACCATTCTTACACATCTGCTCTAAGAGGCAGGGGCAAATCACACACTAAACTAGATCTACACTGCAGAACATGTGCCTTTATTCAGAAAAAACCCAGCTTTTGGTTGGCCGAGCTGCCTCTGGAACTGCAATCTAACACCCAACTTCTCCTAAAAGGCACCTGGCTTGCCCAGTTCTTTTGGTGGCATCATCATGCCCATCCTGTTGCTCTAATCACTGGGCTCACTGGACCCTTCTGCCAGCAAATTTAGCCTCCTAACCAGGCAAACTGTGCGGCTGTTTTTGCCTGGACTTGCTCCACTAACAATAACTACAAGTTCCACTCTCCTTGGATCAGGCAGCATTTGCTTCCAGCCCCCATGGGAGCAACCAGAGGCACTGACATCACTGATTATTGCTTCTTAGAGAAGAAGCTGCACTATTTTAAAAACTGCATTAACTCTAAATTTATGGAGAAAGAAAGCCTTTACATTACCATGTTGTCAGTGCAAGTGAAAACCCCAATTAATCTCACATTTAGACTTTTGTTTTTGTGGGACATTTCCAGTCATTTGCTTAACTCTATATTTTTGAAGGTCGTATCTGAATCCTTAGGACATTTTGGCTTCCTCACAAAGCCCAAAGTTGTTGTGACCAAAGAGAAGTTACAATTAAGAAAGTGAAGCCTATTAGTAACTTAGACAAAAAACAAACAACAATGAAGTGGCAGGAATAATTAAACCTACTGTTGGAAACTCTTGTTTAAAGGGAACCTGAAGGTGTTGAGTACCACTCTAGAGACTTCTGCTGGAGCAGTTCTCACAGTCTGGGATGAGGTCTCTTACTGACACCCTTGTGCCAAGAGAAACCCACAGCACAGCCAGGCACCTGCTGTGCTCCACGGAGGTGGTTTTGAGGAGCGAGTGGAAAGCACAGCTGTATCCACACTCTGCCAGGAGTGCAGGAATTCAGGAAGATGGGACAAGTGGCCTGAGGCAGGTGTTTTCTGTACACATGATGTTCAGACCTCAACCTCTCTTTCCTGTTAAAACATTAACCAAGCCCATTTTTCTAAAACTGGGATGCATTAACAGCAGTGACACTCACGAAATGTCTGCACGCATCCCGCATGGAGCAAGCCTGACAGTTAAGTATTTGCCTGGCTTTTTCCTGAAGAGAAACCAATGTACGTATGAAAATCAAACCACGTAGTTAGGAAACTTTAAAATCACAAGTTTTGGTCCTGGTAAAAATTGTTACTGCCATCAATAAACAAATTAAAAGCAGCAGGCTGTACCTTTGTCCACACTAAAAGACTTATTGCAGGGTCAGCAGCCCTACCTGCTGGCGTGAGTACCAAAGCTTGTAGAATATCGGAGAGGGAGATGATACCCACGATGCTGTCCGCCTCATTCACTACCACCAAGCGATGCACCTGCAGGCAGGCAAAACATTTTGAGAGGGATTCTTTCTTCTGATACATATAATAATAGCAAACAGAATAAAAAATAAAGCAATGACATACAACAGCAAGGAGAAGAAAGAACTGCTCCAGTTGTTGTCGTTATTACTCTCACACAGCAATACAAACCTGCTTACCTGACCCTGATAAAAACAAGCACATCTTTAAAAAGCACATAGTGGTCTGACACAGCAACAAAAATCAGATAGGAAGTGACAAGCAAACCAAAATCCAGGCCTTTAAAATACTTACATTCTGCTCACAAAAATTTTCTCAGATATCACATTACATTCATGTTTCAAGAAGCTCTGATCCAAAGACTTTCCAAAACCATAACAACAAAAGCCCAAAGGATTTCACAGAAATACAACACACTTTTTTTTTTCCCCCCCCAACTTACAGGCTCTGCTCAGCTCTATTTTTTTTTTTTTTTTAAAGAAACTTTATTTTGAGAGAAACACTCGAAGGAGACATACAGCACTAACTGGCTGGACGGTGACACATTCAAACTTTGTTTAACGAAACCTTTCTCATAAAGCTATGTAAATAAGGCTGAATGCTGGGCCATTAAAACAAATAAAATCACAATTTTGTGTGAGGACAGACATTGAGATTTTGTTTTACTGTGTAAACTCAGTGTGCAGTTAATGAAGAAGAAAAGGATACAATGTGGAACAAACTAGACTTATGGACAAGATGCCTATATTTGTAAATAATGAGCTTACCCTTACAAATCTGTTTCATTAGAAATTTTGCACTGCAGTACTTCACAGTCTTTGTATTAGAGGCTTTTTTTGTTGTTGTTAAACAAAATTTGCCTGTATCATTGGTTACATTTAAATAGGTGATAATGTTATATCCTGAGATTCATCGGCCAGAGTGGACAATATAGGATGGACGATGGCAAAACTGGAAGGTGACCTAGCTTAGCTGTTGCCCCAGAGCAGTTCAAGGCTCAAATAATTCAAATTTAATACTATCATACGTATTCTATCCAGCTGAAAGCTTGAATAGATAACCAGACTACACCTAAGGAAGCCATATTTCACATTCAGTTAAAATAAATCACACAGCTTTCTTAAATGCTGTGTTTTAACATCTTCTTTCCAATTTCTACTCAAAACTACTTGCTGTTTATGCTCTTGCCCCCAGGAAATATGACAGAGCTGAAGCTGTCCTGATTCTAGCAGCCACGTTCATTTATGGCTTAAATCAACCACTTCATTACCAGTCAGATACAAAACCAAAGCTCTGAGGTATTTGAACAGTCATATTCACCTGACAAAATGTGGGAAAGGGAAGAAAATGTTTCTATAATATTTTGGTTTTTTTGATAAAACTTTGCCAGGAATGCTTTAGATGGGGTTATTAGCTCCAGTACCTTATCCATATTTAATCATTTTTTCTTCTCTCAGGTAATGGATTTAAGAAAAAATGACAGTTTGTTTCATTTCCAGTAAGATCAAACACTTGTCTGGCAGCTGAAGACAGCAATGATTATTGCCTTGTAAGTTCGACTGACCCATTTTTATATATAATATCACTATGCTTAGACTGCACTAAAGGGCAGGAGCTGTTTTTAAAACCCCCAATATTTAAAGCCTCTAGGGACATTAATAAAAACCAGGTACACTTAACAATTTTAGCATTGCAGATACACAAATTTGAAGTTTCTGGTAAAAGCTCAAGTCGATGCAAGTAGTTAAAAATAAAAATTGTCTAAGGGAAGATACAATAAAATACAGATTTTACTCAAATTAAGTATATCTACCATTAGGGCCCCGAAGATGAAAAAAAAAAAATCTTGCAATTGTAAAGGCTGAAGAATTTAAATGGAGTTGATCACAACTCAGAGAGCAGTGGAACTGGTCACGCTGATTTGCAGCCCCTGCAAAGGGGTCTAAAGGGAACAAGATCTGCTCAATCATCCCCCCCTTGGATAAGATAGATCCCAGTACTAGACCAGACAGAAGATAAATTGCACCAAAACAATGAGGGGAAAAAAAAAACTCAAAGTCACATATAAATGATTTATAAGAACAGTCTGTATATGCCCCTATGCCTCTTCACAGGATTTTTTTTTGTGCTGGTTTCACAGTATTTCCATGCGCACAGTGCAATATTCCACGTGCACTAAGCAATTGCACCCCTCAGATTTCCTGATTAACAGGGCACGTCAACCTCACTATAAGGATTTTAAAGAATTGTTTGGTTGCCTGCAAAACTTATGACGAGACCGAAAAAAAAAAAAAAAACACTTTACTACTACTTCAAAAAAACCCTCTGTGGTCAGTTCAAGTCACAAGATGCATAAATAGTTTTGGATGCACAATATAATATTTTGAACATCCCTATAAATATCCATGATCTAAGACTATATATCAAACTGATATCAACACATCGATAAGAGGAACATTTGCCTCAAGTAATCAAAATGACTGAAAAGACGCATTTATATATATATGTACACATTTTCAGTCACACACCTTCTAAAATGAAGCGAACAAATAAGAAGCAAACTCACCTCAGCCTTCACTATTCTATCCACAATGGTCTCCAGTGTTTCCAGCATACTACACTTTACAACACCTTCAAAATACTGGGACCGGTGTTGTAGGGCTTGTGTCACTGTGATATCTAGGTTATTATATGTTTTTTCAGCAGCAAGATTCTGGAAAATAAGGCACACGACACATCTCAAAACTTGCCCGCAATCAATGAAGTAACATTTTGACATCAAGTAGACACACCAGCTCTGGTATAAGCTGAGCCTACTCCCAGTTTCACATCAAATATTTTTTTTCAGTTTCAGTTTTTAGGAACAGTCAAGCATGCAATTATATTTAACAACATGATTAATTAATAATTTTTATCCTATACGCATTAGGCCAATAAAACTCGTCTTACTTGGCTATATGTTACGTGGCTTGATGTCATTCATCCTTCTTTTATGCAAGGAGTAGAGAATACAACGATCTAGTTCTGAAATTTTGGAGACTTTAAGAAAATACAGATTTAACTTTCTGTTTTTCCCAGGACAGGAGAGGACACCCACTGCTCTGAGCATGACCCAGAAGGAAGGTGTTGAAGGAAGTTAAGCAGAGGTTTCCTGCCCCTTTCCTCATTTTCTCTGAGCTCACACTCCCTCTCCTGGACTCTGCCAGCACTGCCATTTGACACCAGTAAGCAATTTAAGTTGAAAATTATATGCCAATAACATTTACAATAAACAAATAAACTAACCAACCCGTCACCACCACTCAAGGTAAGAAGTCTTAAAGGATTCAAAGGCTGGGTCAAAACTCCATCTAATGAAAGGCCAGACTTCCTTTATTTTGGATTGGTTTGGAAATAGCTATTTCTCAATCAAGGACCAAATTCTGTAGAGAATTAACATACTGTCACCCAGAGTTATGCTCTGCCTGACAGGGACTTTCAGAGACACCAAGTCTTGCGTTCTGGGGGCACATTGCTACTCATGAACACTACATAAATGGACATTTCATAGATTTTACATAATTTGAAATTTTGACTTTGTTCACATTCAGAGCAACTCAATAGATTTATGCACACTGGACTCCCAGTGCCTTCAAGATTTAAGTCCAAGGGACAAGTTACAAATACATATTCTTTTAAACCTAGGATTGCAGAGAAGTTTTCTTACAGACTACAGTGATATTCTGATAGTGTTGGCACATCTCTGCCTATTAGTTTTGCTCAGTGAAGCACTCAAGGAAGAAGAGCAGACCTGTCCCTCGCTTGGGCCAGTGTTTCCATTTAAGTGGAATTAACTTTTGGCTAGAATTTTTTGTGAGCCCTCAGGTTCTTGAGTTGTTAAACAATTACACTCAAGCATGAAGATAGCTTTAAGATGATGAAAGCTGCAAGTCGCTTAGTTTAGGCCAAATTCCTAATGATGGGCACGACAAGAACACAAAAAGCCTGTCCAAGACTTAAGTCACCTAACACAGATCTATTGCAATTTATATTATAGCTACATCATAGCTATTTCCATAGCATCTCACCACTCCTATTCCTCTCCTAAGAACTGAAAAATTGATTTCTGTGCCACGTGCTCTAGGTGTCCCTGCTGGAGCAGGGGGATGGACTAGATGATCCCCAGAGGTCCCTTCCAACCTCAACCATTCTGGGATTCTCAGAACTCAAAAGTCTATTAAACTTAGCTAACTGTGTTTATGGGCATAGTTTAAATCACCAATTAAACTTTGTGGCTGACATATTTAGTTAAAGGTTAAAACAATCACCAGTTGAATCTTCCCAACATTATGTTCCTTGAAAGTTCACATTACACTTTTCAAGCTTTAAAACAAAAAACAAGTCCAAAAATAGGCTGAAGCAGCCTGATGAGAAACCAGAAACCTCACATAGTTGTGTCATAGTCATAGGTGATTATCTTAATTTAAAAAAAAAAAATTATGGATATGCAACAATTTATTGGCTGCAATTGCTATTTACTCTTCTCAATATAATTAAGAGCACATCCATACCAAAAGATGGTCAAGGATTCTATAACACACAGAACCAGATATCATTTTTTTCCCCCCTGCTATTGGTTAATCAGCAAGCTGCTGTATATGAGGCAGAAATCTCATTCTGCACAAATGATCAGTAAATGTCCCACCTAACCAGCTGTCAGTGAACAACTACATCCTTAAGCCTTTGTAGGTTTTTTGTTTTTGTTTTCCTGGTTTCCAATACATAACTTTTCCAATGAACAGATCCCGCATCTCTAAAATCTGCAGAACTTTGGTGATCTCATTACTTAGATTTGCATTTTTCATTTCTTTTCAGTAGTGGCTTTTTTAAAGGAACCTCTTCCTTTTGGGGTCTTCTCTAAGAATGGAAAATGTCAGGACATACGTCCTGTCTTGAAGACTAATGAAGTTGCAAAACGTAACTGAAACAGCAAAGCCATCAAGTGTGAACTTCCATGGCTTTGGATATGTTACGAAGCTCCTGCATCCACAGCTTCCAGCTATTCCTTGGCCAACCTTTATGGCAGAACAGAATCTCCCACAGGATTAATCTAGAGAAAGGGCAGAAGTCTAGACCTGAAGACAAGCAGAAACACCAAGATTTTGCAGTGTTCAGCGTTAGGAGCACTGTTTGCAATCAGAAATATATAAATGCTTGTCTATTTTTCCATTTGTGACCATCCTTCTTATTTCTGGGAGTATTCTGTGCAAATTCAGACATCTGGATTGTCCATTACCACTAGCGGGCTGATGGAGTAAGCAAGTGGAGTCCTTAGATCTCTGAAAATAACAAAAGTGCCAACTAGGAGGCAGTTGCACAGGACAGGGGATGAGGGGGGAGGAGAAAGGGTGGAAGGAGAAATGAAGATTTTCAGCTTTCTAAGAAATAAGAATAGCAGAGCCCCAGCCCTCCAGGCTGCTGTGTCAGACGCATCAATCCAGCTACACCAACCACATCAATCCAAATCTCCCTTCGGGTGATGTCCAGAGCAGTAGATGTCTGTGTATACGTAGGATTACTAAGGAGAGCCTAGAAGCTCCTTTTTATTTATTAATTTTTAAATACTGCACAGAGTGAGCTGAATCCAGTTTATTCAGCTCATTAATTAAAGGCTAAAGAATGAAGTAAACAGACATAAATTCATTTTTAAAATTCTGTATAAAAATATTTTAAGGAATTTAAAGCATATACTTACTATTACATCAAATTTGGAATAAATATCTACAACTTTTCCTAAAAAAAGGAAAACATACATTAGTAGAGTGTTTAAAATACAAAGTTACTCTTCTTGTGTGCTAAAATCATTCATTATCTTATTGTTAACAGAATTGGACAAACATTAGGGGTTCTTCCAGGCCCATGAACGTGGATCTTACATAAATATTTCTTTATATTTCCTTTTTTTTCTCCTGATGGGTCTAACAACAACAGTAATAATAGTAAAAGATAAGTATATCCACCCTCTCAATCCAGTGTTTCACCACTATTATGTTACCACACTCTTGTATATAGAAGATTTAACACACACCTGACTCATCCACAACAGGTAATGCCGATATCCTTCTTTCTACAAATATATTCAAGGCTTTAATGATAGGAGTGTCTGGATGTATGAAGGCAATGTTGTGGTAAGTTCCTATCCCAAGTTCATCCAAATTCTTCTTCATAAAGGCAGGCTTTGGCATCTCTGACATCTAGAAAGGTCAGAATTAATGTATTTACAGGGCAGTCTTCTACAAGATATTTTACAGCTAGCAGGTCTGCATATAATGTTAAACCCAGTACAATTATACATTTGGGTTGGCCTAGCTTTCTCTACATAACAACAGCAAAATAAAAGTAATACAGTTCCTATATCAAGCTTACTGTATTATCTCTCTATTATCTCTATTACACAGACGCAGACTGAAGTGGTCAACTATGGAAGGTCATCAGTAAGTTTCCACACTAAGCCTTAAATAACATAATGCTATAGATTTGGACTGAAAAAATCTGTTAAGCAAAGGCACATCTTTAAATACTTACAAAAAGCTGGAGGAACTTGAGAATTCTTTTATGGGTAAGTATATAAAGTGCATTCCCACTGACAGGATCTATAACCGGCAATCTGTGGATTTTGTTTTTGATCAGTGAATATACAGCATCAAAAAGGCTGAGGAGAAAACATTAAATTCATTTAATCAGTAATGAATCTGGCTGGCAATGAGCACTGTCAAGTAATAAATGCACACATTTATAAAATCATATGAGATACATTACACGAGCAATTATATGTGTATATGTGTTATTTTGCAGCTTTTTGCATTTTGTGAGCAAATCTATAATAAAAGACTCGCACGACACCAACAGCAGCTCCTTCTGTAACACCTTCCTAGAGAGGTGTTTTTACAAACACGTGCACAGAGGCAACTAGGCCACAACAACTATCTCATCTTTCCACTATCTTATCATGGGGAAAACTGAGAGAATTTATTCTCAGAAGACCTGAAATGTTCCTGCAAACACTGCAGACTACTCTGCAGCAACATGGCAACCTATATAACGCTATTCTTCCCTCAAATACCACTGATTATTTTTCCTTGTCTTACTAAGACTGATAAAATCAGCTGCCCACCACTTGTAATAAATAGCTATGTTATAAACTTTGATAAATGCCCACTTGCTGGCCCGGGCTCCTACCCACACAAATAGCTCTGCGTTACGAGTGCAATGCAGGAATCAGCCATCCCCAACTGATGTAGAGGGAGCCAAAATTCCCAACACTGCCCTGCAGATTCCACTCCTGGAGCAAGACTTAACTCTGAGTTTACAGACCTCCTGCCACAGAGCCTTTCTGCAGCGGGTCTCGCCTGCAGTATATTTTTATATATGTCCTGCTGCATCTGTTTTTTTTCCCAATGTTTCTGCTGGCTTCATCCCCCTATGGTGCGACCAGCTACAATTAAACACGCTCTGACCCAGGATACAGTTAATCATTAATCTGGGCAATCACTTGGGTTCCCTCTATCATTTTCCTTCTGCAGGATCTAGGCAGTCCCACTGCAGAAACTGGAAGCCCCAGGAATTAACCTCAGTGCTATTAAATCACAAAACAGGAGGGTGGCAAAGCGACCTGCTAAAGCCATTAATCTGGATTCCGCTGGTGTATGTCTGATTAGTCTGTTCATTCAGGTAAGCCAATTAAAGGGAGACAAAAAGAAAGCAAAGTAAAAGCTATCTTTTTGGGGGGCAATTAAAAGTCTTCACACATATGACATAATTCATCAATAGATTTTAATAAACACTCATTTGTTGTCATACTTGTGCTCACAATAAAAATTGGTCTTCCTTTTTTGCAAAGTCAAAAATTCAGTGCTGACATGCAGTTAGGTTATTTAAAACTTAAGGAGAACGAAAAGCAAAATCCTACCTTGCATCTGGGGAGATGTTCACTAAAGGTTTAAATGTCTCTTGTAAATAAAGCTCTGCGTACAGAAAATTAATACTCCATTACCATTTTACATGAAAGCATTACCATTGCCATAAATTCCTTAGTACAAAATTAGTGGGATGAAAGACATATTTTATAAAACAAGCATTAAACCCAGCCAAGAGAGACACTACCACCAGGGGTCACTACAAATACAGAAATTTTTCCACTATTTTCCCCTTTCCTGAAGAGTTGGCTCCATAAACTCTCCTGAAGTGCTTCTGCAGACGCAAGGCAGCAGGCAGGGGTTTGTGAAGACACAGAGTTACTGAGTCCAGAAAGGGATTAGAGAAACCTAAGGGTAACGGGGCCACAAACGGTTGTTGAAAGGAGAGGGCAGGGGCTGGAACGCCCTAGTGCAGTAGTTGTACAGACTGGAGAGGGAAGGACAAGGGTCAGGGTTTGCGAGTGCTCCCTCCCCACCACCTGTGATGTCCCGGGGGGTATGGGCCGAGGGACCATTGCGCTGACCCACTTCTCCTGTCCTCCTGAACCACAAGGAGTTAATTACATTTCAGCTGTTGTTCAGAATCAGCTCTCTCAAAGGAAAGTAAAGGGCTGAGGGTGCTTATCCTGCAGAAAACAGCACATACCCCCCTTGCTCACACACTGTTTCTAGTGGAAAAATAGCAGCAACGCACAGACAAACTCTCACTACTCCTGTTTCCATTAAAAAGCCTCCGAGTAGAGAGAGATGAGCTAAGTCTGTGATTAAATGAAAATCCACTATACCAAAAACCAAATTAAGATATTTGCAAACAGCAATCAAGTAATAAACATTCTTACCCCTCCAGGTTTCTATTTTGTGCTCCTCCAGTTCATAGATCTGAACCTAGGATGGACAGATGGAAAATTTGTAACTCCAAGTATTAATTTCAAACCCCAAAATATTAACAGTATCATTTAGATTTGAATAGTTTCCTTACACTTTATTGCAGGCAAGATACCAAGCAAGAACTCCAGGTGACTAATTGCCCAGTCAAAAAGAGCATTTCCTAGTGGCACTAAGAGACAAGGGGCAGCCCTGCTCCCTGCAGGGAGCATCACCCGCCACCTCAAGGGACAGGAGGGATTTTCACCCATCTTGATGTCCCTACAAGTTCCGTTTCCAGGCTAAATCTTTTCTAGACTCAAAAGCAGCCCCTCAGGTACTTGATCCCTCTTAAAATAAGGATGCCAGAGTAAACCCTCTGATGACTCCTACCACAATCAAGTCAGGGGGAAAGCTTACCCCAAATGCTACCAAAACAAAAAAAGGTGGCTCAGGTGGTTACAGGAAGGAAATGGGCAGAAAAAACAAAGCTACAAAAAGGTACAAGGTTTCTTTGATGGTTTAGCTCCCATAACTGACTCACAGCAATTCACCCAAACAGGGTGAATTTGAGAAAGAGTTAAAATACTTAGACAAAGTTCAGCTGAATATGTAATTCTTATTAAGCCTGAAGCACTTCTGGATATAGAATGGATTTTTTACTTCTTTTATTGAAGACTGCATCACTCAAGTCAAAAGTTGCCTCTTTACTCAACTATCCCCCTTTCCTCTGCACACAAAGGAAGGCACAAACTAGGGATAAGATGCTGAGCACTGCAAATAAGAGTGAAAAACTGGAGATCTTAAGAAAGATTATATGGAAAAAAAACTAGTAGTATTGAAGGCTGAGTATTATTACAACATGGAATCACTATAAGGGAAAAGTTACCAGGGTGCAGTCACTTCCAATTTACTTTTCCTTCTATACATCTCCAGGAAAACAATTTTTTAATATATATAGTAGTAAGAAATAGTAAGAAAGGGTAATGCACAAAACTCTATGCATCTGATATTTCATTATAAATTATAAAACAAGCTTAATTAACTAGCCCTGAAAAGCCTCCTACCTCAGTTATCATTTTTACCCAACTGCTCTTGATTTTTCAGTTCAATTGTTAGTGAGGAAAGGGGGATGTGAGAAGAACAAGAGAGTGATGTAAATGTTTGCACGAACATGAAAGCCAGTACATTTCATCAACAGGCTGCCCCTGGGAGTTTGGAATTACAGTTAATTGAAGTCAAGAGATCTCAACCTGATTGTGCAACTCAGCCACGCAACTAAACTATTTGCATGAATTTAACTGGCTTAACTTGCACACATTATAGCATCCTTCCAGCAGAGCAACCTTTCAATCCACCTGAGCCTCTGTAAATTCACCTTCTGCTCAGCCCTGCACAGACTTTTCACAATAACCCCCATCCTTCGCTATAGTTAGGAGTCAAAGATTACTTCTATATAAACACGTGAACCACAACATAGTAACTACATCTTTTAACTAAGATGAATTTTTTCATGTAATTTTCAAGCAAAAACTGCTTTTGGATTGAAGTTCCCCATTTATGAAGAGTTCTGATTACTATGAAACATGAAGCAACCAGGTATTTTGAAACAGCCTGGACAGAATCAATCAAACAACAACCAAGTATTTTCCTGCGTACTGTTAGAATTACATTTAATTTCTAGCAAATATTTGAGCTAGGTCCTTCATCCCAAATACATTTAGGCGTTATTGTAACACTAAATAGAGCCCAGCATGCAAAGCCAAGGCTGTCATTATGCCTATTAAATGCCACCCACCTACAAAAGAAATCTCCTATTTACAAATGTTTTACTGAGGCAGACAGATGAAGGTACATGTCCAAAAATCATAGGATGCCCACAGCAAAGCTGAGAACTAAACCCAGATGTACAGATACCATTCTATTAACTTGACCACACACACAAAAAAAACTTTTATTTTTTTAACAAAAAAAATTAACCCCCCCTCCCCACCAAACCCCCCACAGTTAGTATACCTGTGACATACCTAAGCTTCAAAAGACTTCAGTATTAATTAAACCTTCAAAGAGTTCGAAAATTAAGGTTCCGTACAATGTGGCAACCAATGAAAGTGAAGATTAGCATGGTACTTACCATTGGAGACTTATAGTATCTATGCAGTATGTTAATGAAATCTGTAATTGTTAACATCCCTGTAACAAGTGATATGTAAATAAAACATTCTGCAGACATATACCTTAAGTACATATAGCTTCCAGATATTTTATCTCTTTACAATCACAAAACATAATTAATAAACATTCCATCTTTGTAACGTACATTGTTGTTAGCCTAATACAAATAGACAATCATTTCAAAATCATGTATATTCATTTTCACATTGATACAATATTGCACAATAAAACCCACACAAGTCTGAATTAAAATGCAAAGTTACAATCCAGGTGCTTCTCTTCCTCTTTCTCAAACTGACTTGAATTCAGACTCCATCCACCCCCAAAGGAATGGAAAGAAAAGAGATTTCGAAACCCATTTAAGGTTTAGCCTTGCCTTTAATTTTCTTTTTGAACAAAACATGTTCTCATTAAGTTCGTGCCAAGTCAGGCAGACTCTCAGAATCTGACGCAAGAAGGAAATAAATAACAGGATCCATTTTCCTGATTACCACCTGGTAAAGAGCTTCCCTCAGTTGTTTCTCAATCACTGTAACCCCCAACATGTCTACTGAAATACAGCTTTCCTTTAGAGAAATAGCACATCCACAGAATATACATTTTAACCACTAACGCCAAGCTATTTGAACATAGTATTGATAATTAGTTTAGTTACCTGAAAATATTAATCTTTTTTTGAGCTTTCAAGTTCTAAATTTGAGAAGATGTAATTGCTCCACTGATTACTACTCTTACATCTAAACTGAAGAAGCTAAGAAATGGGGAAGAATTAATTCAGAGGTCAGCTTTAATTGACTAGAACTCAATTACAGATAGCAACTGAAATTATAAATTAAGGTACACAGCATGCCTGAGATGTAATGCACAAAATTACTGCTCCCTCCCCCGTGGATTCAAACTATTAAAAAAATACTATATAAAGTATCTGCCATTTGTTTCCAAGATCCCTCAATCCACATTCCAGGTCTCACAAAGAATTCATATTAGTATTTATAACTGTCACTGTGACCCTGCTTAAATGCTAGAGAGCTCTGATTTTAGAATGATACTATTATGGTAATGTTAGAGAGCTGCATGACTTAAAATAAGCCATACACAGCCAGTTTCCCCCCCCCCACACTCTATCATCTGCAGAATTCAGTATTAGCTCCAGTATTTTGTGATAATGAGTAAAAAACTTTTCACTGCTACATCTCTAGGATATTGTGTGATATTAGACCATAGCCAGCCCTGTCACCTTTTGTAAGAATGAAGCACCCTGAAAATTCAAACGTTCTTGAAAAAATGTTAGAGGTACTTACCTACAAAACTCTGTTTTTTACTCTCCCATAGTGGAGCTGCTCTAACACCATTTGCCACCAAGGCAAAAAAGGCTTTCTTTACCTGCAAGATGAATGGACAACTAAATAAAGTCCTGCTCTTAACCTACGGTACAGAAGAGTTTCCACAGTTACTAGGAAAAATACAGCATTATCAGGTAGTTAGTATTTTAAAAAAGTGTTTCTCTTTTAAACTTGCATTAAATGGCTGAAAAGTATAGAAAAAACCCTCAACTCTTAAATTGGTTCTGTTTTAATCTGTGTATTCCAAGTGAAAAATCTCTGATGAACAAATAAGTTGACACAGCAGCAAAGACATTCTCCTTTACTTAAATATTTTCCTGTGTTGCAAAAGAAAAAGAAAAGAAAAAAAAAAAAGAAAAAAGAAACCCACCACCACCACAAGCCACATTTGTTTTCCTGTCCCAGCAGCTTTTATACTCTTAATTCATTTTAACATGACTGAAACAGTTAAAATGGCTGGCCAGTTTTGGCACAGAAGACCCATAACCAAATCTCCTGACCTTCAAAGCACCTTCCTCCCTCCCCACGTGAGCCAAAGCTGCCGGGTACAGGGCCCAGCTCAAGGGAGCCCCCGGGGAGCATCAGTTCTGTGAAGCTCGAAGCGGGTCCGGGCGGTCGTGGTCCTCAAAGCCCTGCCTTCCACAGCATAAGTTTGAGCAGGTCATGGCTTCTCTCCTGCCCACAAGCCTAGTGCCCTTTGCATGGAAGGCACAATAAGAAGTGAGGGTTGTTTTCCAGGTCTTGTCCTGGCACAGGACCAGGACACAGCTGATGGACCTGCTCCAGGTCCAGGGAAGAAGTGCCAGTTCTGACCACTTGACTCAGTTCAGTAATCTGAAGAGATGACAAATACAGAATATTTTTCAAACATCTGCTTTATTGGAGAGATACTGGGAGATATTGGGAGAATATTTTGGGGGAGAATATTGGGAGAATGTAAAGATGGAGCCAAACTCTTTGGGGTGGTGGCCAGTGACAGGACAAGGGGTAATGGGTGCAAGTTGAAACACAGGCAGTTCCATCTCCATGTGAGGAAGAACTTCTTTCCTGTGGGGGTGACAGAGCCCTGGCACAGGCTCCCCAGAGAGGCTGTGGAGTCTCCTGCTCTGGAGATCTTCAAACCCACCTGGATGCCACCCTGTGCCCCGTGCTCTGGGTGTCCCTGCTGGAGCAGGGGGTTGGACTAGATGGTCTCTAGAGGTCCCTTCCCACCTCAGCCCTTCTGGGATTTATAAAAAAATCTCTGTCAAAGGGCTACTCTCCAAAAGGCTTCTGGAATAAAGAGCATGACCGTCAATAGGATTGGGATACAAAAAAGCAGTAGGTACCATCACCAGCAGGTCAAACATAAGAAGTCTGCATCTATTAGCTACAATCACCTTGAAAAGGTTTGCCAAGCCACCCGTGTGAAATCCAGCACCACGAGATATCTGACAGAATCCCCATTTACATTTTACTTCATTTTACAGGGAATCCATGTCACTGTCTAGAAGCTGGCAAGGCTTCTAGCCTGTATCAGATCCCATCACCTCTGCCTACCCTTGGCGTGCAATAATTCACCCGACCACTTCAGAGCTGGCATTATCACACTGTGCCTGAACCTGAATCTTTAAGACATGGATTCCATAAGTAATCCATGTCTCGGCCAGCTTCCTTTCTCCCTCTAACCACTAGAAGGAAATCTGCTTTTCTGATCTCAGCAAGGAGCAGCTCTCCAAGTTGTCTTCTGGATTTACTGATGTTTCTACCAGATCTTCACTGAATAGGAGTAGCAAATCTGCATAACAACCACCTTTCCTAAGCTGCCATGAAGCTAAAGAAATCATGCTGGAAAAAAACATCCAGAACCCACCACTAAGAAGGCAATACGCAAGCAACAGCATTTCTCCAGAAAACGACTAAATGAGAAAGGTCTAGAGATATTAAGCCACTTCATTAACCGCTATACAGGATGAAGTTAGGCAAGATGCAAACATTACCAAACCCAGCAGAGGAGCTTGCGAACTCAAAAAGAAAACTGAAACCACAAAGAAACCCTGGAGGCAAACACCAAAATAAAGCATTTCCACAAAGCAGCATCACCCCTGCCATTAATGTAGCACAAAGCAACAGCAGCAGCGAGTTACCCAGGGAGTTGATAAGGGAGAGAGGCAAGTTCACACAGACGAACTCCCCCTTGGGCCAAGGTAAATAGGATCTAAGTGTTCTTCATTTAAAAGAAGGAGGAAAGTTCACTCAAACCACCTGAAATAAGGAGCTTTCAGCCTCGATATCTTTTCAACTGGAAGAGCTGTCACACTTTGTAAGCACAGGGTAACAGTGGCTGTCAAGTTAAGTACCAAGCTTTTCACAAGAGCAAGCTGCCCAAGCAGGTAACAAATAATCTACTGAAACCAGAGGCTGGAATGGGGACAATTTTTGGAACAGTCATGCAACGCAGTTCCTCAAGGGAGTTTTTGAACTTGGTACCAGTAACTTGGAAAAGAATCGTGCTCATAACAGAAGGATTCGGGACAGCAAGTGCAAGTCTCCACATTCCCAGTGCTACTTCTCGTGCTCACACACAGGAGCAGCAAGGAGCATCATCCAGCACAACGTACAGCTGGCCAGGGTGGAAAAATTGAGGGACAGTTTTAGACACGACAGAGATGTTGTATCAAGAGTCACGTAGAATATCCCCACAAGGACTCTTCCTTCAGATTTTATAGACATTTGTAGTTTTTGAAAATTCCTACTGGGTCCCATGTTTCGACCTCCAGTGTGCACTGCTCATTCTCCCATCAACAGCGTGAGGCCAATCATCTGCTGCAACCTTCTCTGATCTCAAGTTGAGGGTTGGACTGGCCTGACCTCCACAAAACCCTTGTTCCTGAGCCAGATCCCACAAACTGTTGCTGCTAGCTCCATGTACAAGCACTCTTTATACAAAGCACTTTCATTCTTAATATGTAGTGGGCCTACCAAACATAAGCTAACATTTGCCCAAATTTAGAGCTTGCTCTTATGTATACGCCAGCTTGGAAGTTCACCTCATCATCTCTTTATAGCCAACAAGGGGAATTAGTCATTTCTGCAGCATGACTCACTAGCCTTTGAGTGAGATAAGTTTTGTCCCACTTAGACAAGAGAAATGTCAGTCTCTTCCCATTGACTACAAGATGTGCCCACTCTAGGTATCCACAGTCAGTTCAGGAGTCATCTGGTGTGACTACTTGTTTCCTCCAATATTTGGCCTCTTGGGGTAAAGGATCATATTAGAGCAAAGAAAACAAAAAATAAAGCCATGTACTAAACGTCACCTCAACCATAGCTGCTATTGCACTTCAGCAAGCAGAACATGAACAAGCTTTTTCTGCCACAAGAAACTCATTCCACAAATTCAACTCAAAGACTGCCTGGCTTTGAAGAGTCACGTGAGAACAGTTAAGCTGCCAAAAAGCTGGTTTTAGGCTGGTGCAGGCTGACATATCTGAAGGACTTTTTAGGAACTGTTCAGATGATCCAAAGAAAACATTTATGACATGTACGGAAGCGACTGCTTCTGCATCTTTACTTTTTTTTTTTTTCCCCTTCTCAAATATCTTCACCTTTTTACTGTACTATTTGTAAATATGCTGAATAGAGTAATTCAGCTTGGACAGGACCTTTGGAGGCCATCTGCTTCTAGAGACCCTGCCAGGTGTTTCCACTCTCATCTCTAAGGAGAACTTGGCCTCCTCTAGCACAACAGTCACTACCAAGAAAGATTGTGCTCGAGCTGTACATAGGGAGTCCTACCTTTCAGGTGTCCCAAAAATCTGTTTTTTTTGCAGTTGGCAAACTCCAGAATAGCTTAATTAGGAAACTGTGACAAAGATGGGGATGAAGGTTTATCACCAGGCTACACAATAGCTCTGCCTTGAATGGAAGCACTGGGAGAAACACTAGCCATCACGAAACGCTGAACAGTGATTTCCCTGGCCTAGGATGGTCTTTGTGGAAAATGTCTGTGAATGAGGGAAGCATCCCACAGAAAAGCTGAGGATGAGCTTGTTTCTGCATGTATATATATATTCTCTTTTATACACAGGGGGAAATCTTCCAGTATTATATACTACTGATTCTGGCCTGATATAACAAAGGCATCTTTTATGTTGCCTGCTCAAACTGTCTCAGCTCACATGCCAGCAGAAACCAGGTGATATTATTCTCTTAGGAAGCTGTGTGTGGGACAGGTAGTCAAGAAGGGGTGTTCCCACTCCTCGGAAATGGGGACAATGTATTACTTTAATTTTAGCCCTTTGAAGAGAAAGAAAATCTCAAAGCCAATTAAGGAACAGACAAAACAGAGAAAGATTCTGGCGTGTTCTTCCTGGAACCCTGGTCTATCTCATTACCTTGGAGAGAGGCAACACCCCAGTCAAGAATGACCTGGAGGGAACAAGAATAATAAATCCAATTACTGAATAGATTCATCACAGGGAGGAGGAATATCCTCTTCCACTTTTCTAATGTGGAATCCATTGCATGCTCTGCAGAAACTACATTTACTTCTAGGCTAAGCCCCCATTAAAAAAAATCTAGAACGCTACATCAAATATTTTTCTAGTTTTATAGTAGAAAAATAAATATTTTAGCTCTTACTAGTGTGTGATAGCTACCAACAAAAGCCAACTTCAGTAATGGTAACGTCTGGTCCATTACCAGCTGGATCATTTAATTAAACAGATTAAATTACCTAACCTTCACATCATTTAACTGTCCAAGAGATCTCCAGCACACACAGGGGGAGAATCTTTAGGATTCTGAAAGCTTGTTTTGATGACTGTTTCTATATAAACATGATTTTCATTAGTTTATAAAGAAGTGCTGAACAAATACTTGAAAAATAGCTTCCAAATCATCTTGAGCAAAAGCCATGCACATGTTAGTGCTAAAGCACAGATTTCTCACACAGGTGAGAATGTTTGGTGAGAACAGAAGGTGAGGTGGAGCTTTCCACACCACAGGGGCTTCCAAGAACTTCACAATATCCAGCAACTGCTCTATCCCATCCTTGTGCCTGCAGGTTGCTGCTCAATACACAGCAGGGAAGTCCCTGTCTTACCTTTTTACCCTCCTTTTGGAGGGCTGACTGCTCTGGACTATAGAACAGACTACTGAATCCTTCTCACCTTCACATGGGCTGGGCAAAGAACAGAACGAGTTAAACAACAAGTATGTTTGAAGGCTAGAGGGAAAAAAAAATAGTCTTAAATGAGTAAAACTTCAGAACCTGCTGTAAGCTGCTGTAAATCAGCTGTTTCCTTTAAAAATCCAACTTCGGAGTGGGGGATAAACGCATGTGTCTGTTATAGAGAAAGCCTTATGAGCCAGAAGCTCATGCAGTAACAAGGAAAACTGAAGTCACATCAGAGGAAAAGGTTGGTATTACTTAAGATAAATAATTTGACTGATGAAGAAGGAGCAAAGTGCAATAGTCTGTTGGTATATAAATCTAACTAACATGGGAAATATTCAAATTCCTATTTTTCTTCCTTCAAATGCCTGAAGCATTAATCAGTTTGAAAAGACAAGAAATTCTTAGTTTTGACTCATATCAGTGACACTTATAGCAGAGTAAAGGCAGATCTGGATGTCACTTTTTTTCACCCAGAATATTGCCAAATTAAATGCATTAACACTTGCAGAGTAATTAGCTCAAAACACAAGTCCACACTAGGAAGTGCCCCTTCTTCCTAGCCCTTATTCTGTACCACTGCTACTAGTTCAGACCTCCTTTCTGTTTGCAGTGTGATGTCACCTTGCCATCTTCTCTCTTCTTCAAACTTAAAACAACAGCTAATAGTTAAAACATTTAAAATAGTTAAAATAATAGTTAATAACTTTGAAGCTAAAATCCTTATAAATCTTCCCATTAAGATTCCCTCAAGATATTGGGACAAAACATTTGCTTTTAAAAGCATTTTAACAATTTTATGATATTGCTTTAGTGCTATGACTCAGATCCCACTACATAAAAAACTTATCAGCCTTCTTTTATTAAGCAATAGTTTTAGAAGACTTTCTGTAATACCTCACAAATAATTTCCAAGATATAAAAATACACTACACTACATAAAAAGCTTATCAGCCTTCTTTTAGCAATAGTTTTAGAAGACTTTCTATAATACCTCACAAATAATTTCCAAGATAGAAACAAGCCTGAGGTGTATTGGGATTTCTGACCAGTAGAGGGAGGCAGGACACTGCGGTCAAACACGGATCCAAAGGCAGGATCCTTCAAAACATCACATTGAACCAATTTTTCTTTTCTCATCAATTGCTATTAGTTTACACAAAGGAAGGCAAAAAGCGAGGCCTTACCATGTCAAACTATTGAAACCTGAATTCAGCTAGAAATAAGGTTTCTGAAGAATTCTATCAACATCTCAAGGGACTTTAATTTGGGTAGAGGTGAAACAGACCCAGAAAAGACACCAACCATCCACAAAACTCCCGCAAAAGGATTGATGGACATCAAATGCTTCATAAGAATGTGCACATGTAGTACATAAAAAGGAGGCAATATGAGGTCCAGAGGCACTGAAGTTGTCTAAATATTAAAAATGATAGCACAAGCACTAGGTCTTGTCTGACTATCCTTATGATGTGCTTTCTCCTCTATCCCGTTGTTTTCAAACAGAGAATTTATTTAAAAAGAAATCTTCAATTTTTAAGTTTCAGCCATGCATCTGCTTTGCTATCAGAATGAATACATTTAATGTGTGTTGAAGATATCATAGCTAGAACATTAATACAAGGTGCTGGTAGAGAAATGCACAGGAAATAGTGACAGAGAAGACCCCCTAGCAGTGCACCCAAGGAGATCAGTGCTTAGATCAACCTGCTTCAAGCTTTCTTAAGTAATACTATATGTATTTTACTAGTTTGTATGTTTTGTTTGTACTAGTTTGTTTGTTTTTTATTAGTTTACTAGCTTGCAGCAAAGCTGGAAGACAGTGCCAATGCTGGAAGGGGGCTGTTATTTTACAAAGAAAGCTATGACTTCATAAATTAGAGAATGATGAAAGTAGGATAATATTTTACAATATAAAGCACAAAAATATTCAGTTTGGAGGAAGAGCTGTTTACAAGCAATACAAGTTCAATATATGATTAAAAATAATAAAAAATAAAGCCTCTTCAGACCTGAGAGACTGCCAAGTAATATTTTCACTCCACACTTGACTTCTCAGGTCAAAAGGTCTGGATTCTCTAGCCCTGAATCAGTCATTCTCTCTATGGGGCAGAAGAAAGAAAAAGCTGTAGAGCCCTTTCCATCTGAGATGGTGAAAGAAAGTCTGCAGGATTAATCTCCCACAGAATAAAGCTCCTAAGAGACAGAAAGAGAAGTCTCTGAACAGGAATGTGGCAAAAGAATGGGGCGAAGCATTCATTACATCTAAATGTAGCAGATGTTCCTCACTCATAGTTTGGAGCGCTTGGATAATCACCAAGTCCAGGCAACTGGTTCAGTGCAAGAACAGATGTTCCTGAGAGACTGCACAGAAACAGAGGTGGAAGAGGCATGGAAATTGATACTGAAGGATTTAAACTTGGGGGGCTTGCTGCCCATGCACTCAAAAGCTCTTCCTGCAAGACTCTCCCTTTCATCTCTAACCACAGATTGGACACAGTATTTTCACTACAAAATCACCAAGTAAAGAAACTTGGGTAGGAAAAAAGAATTAAAATTATGTTAAAATGATTCAAAGGTATTTAAGAATGAGAAGTTTCCTGTAAAAGTTTGCCTCTCTGGATAAAGGAAGAAATGTTCACCAGTGTCTCATGCCATATAACCTGCTATGTCCAGTAGTGCCCTCCTGGTACCCAGATCAGTTGGCACCAGAGGCCTTTTAACACATGGGCAGTCTTATCCAGAGCCTGCCTACATTTTAATATAATTCTTGTACCAAGTATAAATAGACCAGGTCTATTTATACTATTGGTATTACTTGGTACTATTAAATATTGCTCTGCTAATTAGGAACCTGTTCTTGCTCACATCAGCACTTCCTGCCCTTTCAGGTGATATCAAGACGACGAGCGCATCCCCAGGAGAAGAGATTGTTCAAACTGAGAACACACAGTGATACCACATTACCTCTCCTTGCTGCATAACTGCAGTTTGGCATCTTTAAGACTGTTGTATGGATAACTGGACATTGTAAAGGATTATCTGATACACAGGAAGGTGCTTTGGACACTTTGGGACCAAATATCTACTACGTGGTTGTCTCTGACTGCAAGAGACCGCAATCCAACCGAGCAGTACGTTCCAGGCTGATATTATTTTACTAGCCTCAGACAAGTCAAAAATGGAGCATCTTTAAACAAAAGAAACCTCCCACCAATTTCAAAATCTAGAAAACAAAGAAAGCCACAACTCCCTACTACAACTCTACTCCTTTTCTACAATGGGCAGCTATTGCTTGCCTTTGGCAAATAAATCCTTCATGAAGAGCCAAGAGTCTAGCAGATGATCATTAAAAGCAAAATGAAAAACTGCAAAACAAAGATTTCCAGGAGAATTTAATGATTTGCAGAACTAAATCATCCATTTGATATTGTCTTAACGACATCCAGAGTAGCCTGAAAGTGTCTGGTATTTCATAACTATCACAACAGAAATCTTCACATAAATGTAGGTAAGATTTGGTGAATAAAATTTGACATCCAGGAAGGAGTCACTATAACTCTTTGCTCATTTGAAAAGTTTCTTAGCTAGTGATTTCAACTACAATATAAACTGTAGATTCTCTTTCTGTTGAGCAAGGAAATCTTCCCCCATGTCCTTCTCTAATAGAAGATGAAAGATACAGTTGAAACAGCATGGTTTTTTGCCCGCCAAAGCACAGTATTACAGGGGAACTTCGAGAGATCAGATTTCATTTGACACTGAGGAAAAATCTACATTAGAGGGAAAAAAACGGATGAGCTGCAGGAAAAAAAAAACACAGATTGAAAGGAGAATACTCACTTGTAACGTAGTGTCGAAAACAACAAGCTTAGAGCTAGTTGGAACAATGTCGTAGCACTTGTGTGACCTCATGAATCGCACATAAATGTCACTTTCCGATTCTTCAAGTGCTGCAAGTAAAAACATTATGTTTCTTTAAGATTATTTGCATAAAACAACGTAAAAAGCACATCAAATCAACTAAGTACTGTTGCAAAAGGCCATCCCTACAGCAAAACTCAAATTCACGCTTGCAGATCTAGACAGACAGTTCATAGCTCTTCAGTTCTGCATCTCAGATGCATCTTTCCTTTTAAATTACACAGTATAAAGATGAAATGCATTGTTCTTCCTTAGGGAAAGGGACTTCAGTATTAGAGTTTTATATCAAAAAAAAAAAAAAGCCCAGTTTGTCCAATGGCAAACTATTCAAGGCTTCTAGTATGAGTATGAGCCTATTAACTCTGGTTATACCCAGAGCAGTCAGGTTTGAAACTTAAGTTATGATCTGACTTAACTGACTAGAGCTCCTGAAATTAATATTTCTCCAATCTCATTTCTGTTCAATCTACTTTTCACTTAGTAATTCTGTATTTCTCTTAGAAACAGCAGGAGGTTTGGCAGGTTACACAATCAGTACCACCCCGTTAAGGCTACCTAACACATGAAGACTACACACACTATTGCAAACTGAGGATTTAGTGAAATGAGGATCGTTTGGGCTATTCAAAAGTAGGGCATTTTCTGTGGCAAGAACCAAACATGTAATGTAGGCAATGGTAGCTTAAATTACATTTGGCAGAGTTTAGATGCAGGTGCATCTAATTTTCTGATAATCTCAGGTTCTTCCTATATATATATATTCTTTAAAAAAAAAAAAAAAGCCCTTTTTCCACTAGAACTCAAGCTGCAGAAAACAACAGTTCCACGGAAATACAGCATTGGAGAGAAACAGGAGAACGGGGAAAAATGTATATACCATTTGTTGGAGTTCTGTGGACTTAAAGTGAAAACAGCAGGAGCCAAGAACAAAGATATTAGGAAACAACATGAACAAACTGACACGGAAATTACTAGGCAGGCAGACTTGGACAAGGCTGGTGAGAAATAACCTTGATGAGGTGACACCACAGGGGACCTACTTGGCAAGGACATATTAGAAGAGGTTCAAAAAGGCAGTGTGAGATCCAGAAACTCTTATACAGCACCATAACATAGTAAAAACTTATCATCCTCCAACTTCTGCAACAGCTTAAGTGGCTATTATCTGTACAGAACAAATTTAATTACCGTGCGATACAGTGAGTTTTATGCTTGGGGCGGGAGGGAGGTTATTTTGCTGTTTTATTTTTAAAAGCAAGAACTAGAGGGAGGACAAAAGGTAAACATTAAAAACAAGACAATGAGAACATTTAGATGAACAAGCAAAAAATAAAATAAAAAAACTGATAATTAAGTTAACATTGTCTGCACAACCATAAGGACTCTGATACTGTACAGAGATACTGTGTTTTATTACTTTAATCTCTTTTTTCCCCCAACAGGACAATACACAGCAACAACTGGGTTTGAACTGGTAAATCATCCCCCCAGCAGATACAGCTAGTTACTAATACAGCCAACAACCATGGCACAAAAGTCACACACTTCTTTTTTTCCCCAAAACCACAGAAAAAAAAAAAGTCAGTCCCACAGAACAGCATGAAACTCGTCTCCTCCAGCGTTAGTCCCCTGCCTCTTTCCTTCCACACTTTGCAATTTCTGCAACAAGCAGAACAGTGACCCAACTGTTCTGAATCATTTGCAGGGCAAGTTTGTTCTTTACACTGACACAAACAGAGGTTCTATGAAATTTTCATCACACAGACAGAAATTACTGCAGACAAATGTACCCAGGGAGCTTGTTCTTCTAATTGTGAATCTGTATTTCCTATTGATTCTGCGGCCCTAACCTGCTGCTTTATATACAACTCAGTATGCTGCAGGTAGCAGCAAGTGTTGGAAGACATCAAACAGTTGATTAAAAACAAGTGTTTCAAAAAAAATCATAATTAAAAATGTATATATATAGGTGTTCTTTCACCCATAGCAAGGCCTATCATTGCTCGGTACAGTTTTGCTGACTTACTAACAATTATGCGAGTTTAATGCAGTAACTGGAAAGAAGGAACCTCCCCCAGTTTATTCAGGTAACGCTCTCAGTGGCAGCGGCAGTTAAGATCTCTGTATATTGACCAGCAGAATGAACACGGGCCTATAGACCCTTCTCTCTCTCTCTCACCACACATCACCAAACACATACCTTCATATAATATATACAATACACAATAATAGCTGTGAAACTGAACAGCATCTGAATGATTGCCCTGAACTGAGGTTAATTTATGCATAAGATCCTTATACTTCAAACACATCTAACACACTGATTTATTAGCTACCAATTAAACACGTAAGACAAACACATGAGGGAGATCAGCACAGCTTTAAATAGCTCTCCAGTGCCTATTACAAAAGACACCTTTAGCTGCCTGGCATTGCTAGGCACAGGATGCCTCTGCTCCATTCTCTGTGCTGATATTTGATGCAGTCAGTCCATATAACTGCTCAAAGGAGAAGAATCTTGAGCTCAGATCACCCCCGTCAGGGCTCTGCTCACAGGCTTCTTTGCAGCTCCTCTCACCTCCACATGCTTCTTGCTTTTGGTTATACTCAAGCATGACAACACTGCAAACCTAATGTAGGTCAAGGTAATTGTGTTTGATCATTTGTATTTTATTATATATTTATTTTCTAGCTCTAGCTTTATTTGTTTTTGGTATAACCTCCCACTCTTTTTGTCTGTTTTCTGTAAGCTCAACTCCGTATCACTCATCAAGCCTTTATTATTTTGTCTGTATACAAAGATTCTGTAACAGACATTTCTCTGCATAAAATCCAGCAGAGCCAGAATCTAAAGTTACTGAAGCCAACTAAGAAAACTACCTTGGTGAGAACTGCTTCTTAGCACTTTTCTTCAATCTTGAACTTAATGACTTGGACTTCTTTCTGTGCCATGCTTCTACAAGGCCAGGAATAGAAACGTGCACCCAACAGCACAGCTCTGTCCCACTTGCAAACAAGTTCCATGTCACACTAGGCTCAGACAACCTCACTCAGTCTGTTGGGTCAATATCCGAGTGCTCCTGGCCCACAGAACAGGCTCGAGAGGCTCCCAGTAAGAGCCAGCCCAGCCTGTCGCAACAGAGGACGACTGTGTTAGAACATCTAGATAAAATACCTGCAACCAGCAGACCTTCTAGGTAAGCCCCACTGTTTGATGGCAATTCCTGTGCTATGCAGACAGCCAGGTGCAGTAGGTTGTCTTGCTGCAGCTGAGGTAAATCTTCAACCAGAGCCATGCTGCAAATCCAGGTGACATCACAGGGAAACGTGACTCTGAGCTTCCAGCTCTGTTGGCTCCAGGACAAACTTCTCACCCAGCTACTTCCACAGAACAGTGGGAAGCAGCAGGCAGGTTGGGTAGGAGTGTGAGCCACCCCCCTTAGTGACTGCTGTGGCTTCAGTGCATAAACAGGCTTGTTCTGAACATGTGCAGATGAAGCAAGCTGAGACAAACCCGCTATTAGATACACAGGAGCAAAACACTACCTGGGGATCTGTTACAAGGGCTTCTCAAATTCAGTAGAGACAACGCAGCTGAGCCTGAAATCTATTTTGTGGAGCTTAGGCCCATTAGCACAATGAGGACCTGGTGTTTGGAGCTAGAAAATAAAATCTTAGTTTCCCACAAAGCTACCTTGTCCACCTTGGGTGGGTTGTCTTCCCTTAAAGGCTTGCTGGTGAGTTTCTTCAAGCAAGTTAGAATTCTCATCTAAATCACGTATCTGTCTGCAAGAATTACTCTGGAGCAGCTAACTGTCACATTCCTCCTGCTGCAGTCCATTCTGTATGCTGGGAAAGCTCACTGAAAACATGGAGCCGCATCCGACCGCCACTGCGAATCCTGTCCTTGGTCCTAGCCCATGATCTGGGCGCTCGCTGGCTCATGGACAAAGGAGATTGGCAGCAGGAGGAATGTGAATCCTGAGTAAGGAGGGAGGAGAAGAGCACACCAATAAACAGTTGAGTTCTGGCAGAAAAAGCAGAAAACAAGGCCACCAGAAAGCCTGCAAGACTGTGGAAGTTTGAGTTCCTGAAACACAGAGCATCTTTTGTAGGTCTCTCTTCAACTACATCATCGTATTTTTTATTCCTACAGATAGAGAGACTTCAAAGTAGGAAATGAAACTATTCAAGGATCTAAAGAACAGCCACCTGCAGTTCCCACTCTTCCCTTCTCTTTCAAGATCTTCAAAAAAGAAAACAAAAACAAAACAAAAAGCAGCCTCTTACTGAGATACACAACACTTTCTGTGCTACATTCACATAGGGCCTGCCCAACAGTAAGGGCCTGACCCACAAGGGATTCCTAGTTTCAATAAACAGATAACAGAAAAAGTTATTATTTTGTGTTTTTAAATTATAGCTATATTTTGTTCTTTGTCTTTCTGAACTGGAAATGCAGTAGCATTTCAAGTTTAGTGTGTGGTTTCAGGAGCATTTGAAAGAACGACTGTGTGTTCCTCGCAGACCATTTCCCCCCATCTGATTTAAGAGTTATTTTAACCACAGACCCCAATCATGTCACTGCAGCTGCACAACTCTCTCCAGAGCACCCTGCCCCTCATGATTAGATTGAGGTGGTAGCTTTAGCAATTCTCTGAACATTTAAAGAACACAAGAAAACTCAGTCCTGAAGGACTGTTCGCATAAACAACATTTCTGAATTTACCATCAAAACAACTGTCAAATTTGAAATGCACTTAAAGTGGCTTGGAGCAATATGCCAAAAACATACCTGAACTCAGTTAACCAACCTATGAACACCTCAGTTAACTACTAAGAGCAACTGAGAGGAAGATATAAACCACACGTATACTTTTTTTTTTTTTTTTTTTTTTTTTTTTTTTTTTACTAATTTTATCAGAATTAGTCTGGGAAAATGTAGAACTTCAGAGGCTTAGAGCTTCCTTACAGCAATAGGAACTAAGCATTCCCAATCCTAAACTCTTCTACATCTAAAGGACCCAGG